GCCCAGGCAGAGGAGAGAGCCTGGCCTGCCGCGAGTTTACCCCCACACGGGTCCAAGTTCTGAGTGGTGACAGCAGAACTGAGGAGACGACAGCAGGTTTGATCACCAGAGCTCAGAGGAAACAGGGTCTATTTGGATAATTCAATAAAACCCAACAGGATGTTGAATGAAGCCTTTTCCCCAAATCCTCACTTCCCCAGCCCTTCCAGGTGCTTTTACAGCCTTAAAGGAGAGAGCAGGCGCACGAAGGTGCCCCAGCTAAGTGCTATCGCTGCATTCAGGGCTCAATGGCAGGCCGTTAGCAGCTCCTCCCTGAACTCTCCTGAAGTCGGCAGTTTCCAAATGCAGGCATGTCATCGAAGTGTGTGCGTCCTTTCCCGGGGAAGGAAGGGGACAGGGGACAGTAAGGCAGGAATGGGAGGAAGGAGGCTGGAAGAAAGGTGCTGATGAGGTTTAGCCTGGGCACCAAGAATGAGGGACCTGCAGGCCATAACTGCAGATTAGGCGGCCTCAGCCCCCTCAGCCCCTCCCTCTCCTGCTGCCTCCCTGCACACCAGCAATGCTTCCAGAAACTACTGGGGGGGAGGGGGCATGGGAGAGAGGAAAGGAAGTTCGGGGAGTGTGCTGATTTTGTGGGGGGGGGGCTGTTAATGAAAATAATCCAGTAGATAGTTTTATGCAGACAATGCTGAGGAGACAACTGACTTACTTTTCTGACCAAAGTGAGAGGTGGAAATGTTTTAAGGAAGGAGAAAGCTGGGGAGAGCTAAGAGCTTGCTCAGGGCTGAGTGGGAAAAGAGTAAACCACATGGGGTCCTGCACCCTTCATCTCAGGGGAGACCCCTGCACCCTGCTCAGGAATGGCCCATCAAGCACCTGGACCCTGGACAAGTCCCTCAACCTCTCCACACCTCTGTATCCTCACTGGTAGTAGGACGTTAATAATAACAACACCTGAGGGATTCTGAGGCTGAACGGGTGATGCATGCACAGTGCCTTAGCACAGTCCAGATCATGGACCCCACCCGTAAACGCCAGCTGTGGTTCCGGCCCATCATCTCCACCCTCAAGCCGAGACTACTGTTCTGCAGTGGTAAGCACTTTTTTAAGATCTTGCCCAGTCTTTTGGCTATTGTCTTATTTTTCAGCCTACTATCTACCCGCTCCTCCCCCCCACAAGTCTCAACATAAATTCAATATTTTGGAGTGAATAGTGCCTGAATGCCTCCATGTCACGCTCTTTATTAATCTAATAATATCATTATTAAAGTAGAATCATTCAGTAGAGTTGTTACTCGGGACACTGTCCCAGGGGCTCTGCATTTAAGAATTCAGCCCCCTCCACAGATCAGTGAGGTAGGCATCACCTTTCCTCCTCCTCCTAAACAGTAAACTGAGGCACAAGGAGATTAAGGAGCTGCCCAAGGCAGTAGGGCTATAAAGTACTTTAGTTGGAACTTGAACCCAGAGAGTCCTGCTGCAGAGATGCGCTCTTAATCCTTTAGCCAATACTGTCTCTTGGAATCAAAAGAAAAAATATATTTTCCACAACAGTTTTGGTCCCTGACTAAGAGTTCTCATTACCGTGTCTCATCGACTGTCCGAAAGCTGGAACAGAAATGCCTAGCAATCCGTGTTTGAAGTCCTGAGCCCCTCCCCTGTGTAAGGGGTTGTTTATTTACACGGTGAACAAGCCTGGAGGGAGGCTGGGTGAGGGACACCTTGTGTCCTGAGGCTGGGCCAGACCCTGGGCAAAGGAAGGGATGAATCAGTCTCCCGGCCTGTGGAAGCCACTGAAGGAAAAGCAGCCAGCTCATCCTAAGAAATTCCATCAGTTCCTCTCGGCTTGTCCTGTCCCTCCCGATGACTGACTCGCTTGTTTTTGCAGTGACCGGTGACACAATTTGGGCTCTCTGAAAATTACCAATTATTTTAGAAAACTTTCTGGGTGAAATCTCTCTCTGTGCCAAGACTCTTCCCTTTGTGGGCCACCTTTAACTTCTCAAACTTTGTATCATTATATGTCAGTGTGAAAAATAGGATTTGAAGAGCTTATTGATTTAGAAGTGTGAAGATTCTGTTTTTCCTAAAA